TATATTATATTATATTATATTATATTATATTATATTTATATTATATTTATATTATATTATATTATATTAACCTGTTCCATGGTATTCAAATTGTCATTATAAATCTGAATTAAATCTTAGGTTCTCACAATTTTAAATTACAAAGCTATTGCTTGAACTTCCTCTTACAGGGCTTTTCCTAAAATTTATTTTCAGCACTATGCTGCGACTCCCTGCTATCCACAAGACTCTTGTTGGTGTTACCCGGACGACTACAGGATGCGGTAAGTTGGCTTTCTATTCCGATCCAGTCTATATGATGATTCTCCATGTTCATTTTCATTGTTGAGATTGCTAGTGTCATATTTTTTCATGGGTTCTATTATTGATAGAATCACTGATTCCAAAAAGTAATTGTTGCTTCTTTTCTTGGATTTGTCAACACTCAGCTCACCTTAGCACCTCTCTAGTGTTAGGATTCAGTTACAAAATGTTGTGTATTCTCAAAAGCCTGGCTTAGTGTACACTAGTTTGTACTCATACATTCAGTTTCTCAGTTTGGAGAATACTACTTGATTCATTCTTGGTTGGGAAACTTGTGCTTATTTATTCGTTCAAGATGTTAAATCCAGTCCTTTGTCACGTGAAAATTTGGACTTATAGCTATTTTTGAAACATTGAGAATATTGAAACCAGTTCCAGAGAGCTGAAATTGTTGCAATGGTTTCCAAGCTACTATTTATCATAATTAAGAGTAGTGATTTACCTCTTTCATTTTGTATAACTTTTGTATGATAGATAGGTTGATGAGAGGTCTGACTTGGCATGTATTACTGAGAGCTTGGCGGTGCAGAGGGAGGAGTCTCTTGGAAACATGCACATCTGGATTTTGAGTGCAGCATCAGCCAAGATCCCAGGGCAGGTGTGATGGAGTAGCTATGGTTGTCCAGGATACTTTATTGACACTTTGTTGATGTTAGACCCAGAAATCATTTCCATAAGAAGATTAAAACTATTTTTATTAAGATTGACGGAATCTTGCAAATCTATCTGTGTTGTACCTCCTCTCCTTTCTTACAATCCGGTGAATTAGATGTCTCTCTGACGAGTTTACAAATGCTATCTGTCTGTTGTGGCCTTAAGAATTTTTTCCCCTTGTCCCTTTGAGCTCACGAATCTTCATTGAGGTCGTCTGCCTTACTCTCTACAGATGGCTTTCAGGGGCACCGCTCAGAGGTAACCAGATGCAATAATGATAGTATGCAGCTATATATCTCTGCCCTGGGTCAACTAAGTGATAATGCTGGAGTGTATGGAAACTATAGGATCTCAATGTCTCGAAGCTATAAAGCCTGGATGGAGAGGAACACATTTTAACTCAAACCTAGAAAGACTGAGTAGCTCTAGGTTTTAGGCTCCCCTGATTTTTCAGCTTTAATTTTGAAAACCTGGCATGTCCAGGAAGTTTTTGCAGTTACAAGTTGTGTGCCAATTTTTCTTTAATCAGGAGGCAGTGCTCACAATCATTTATAACTTGGTCGCCCCCTGAGAGGATTACTGTAACACAGTAATGATTTTGAAAATCATCTGGAAATTTCAATTGGTCTAGAATGTGGCAGCACAGGCAATTATCTCATTATGCCTATGTCACATCTTTGTGAACTGCACTGGACCTCAATCTGCTTCTGGGTGCAGTTAAGAGTACTGATTATTACCTATAAAGCCCAGGTAGGTGTGGGACAAGATATATGAGATATCTTACAACCATAATCTCTTCTCATCCCATTAAATCAGGCAGGAGGGGCATACTCTTGAGTCCCATCAATCAGGGACAGTTGTCTAGAGAAGTTCCCAAAGTAGGCCTTTTCTATTACAGTGTCTGCCCTCTAGTACACCATTCCCCTCGCACTGAGATCTAGCTGCAATGGTAGGTTGCAGGCAGTATGCCCCATACGGGCATACCAGAGCCTGCCCGGATCACCGGATACCATTCCGGTACGGTGCTCGAGAGGGCCCACCCACCCAGCCGCGCTCCTTACCTATCTTTAAAGCCTTTGGCGCTTCTGCACACACGCATGGTGCATACGGCGCCTGTGCGACACACCGCAGAGCAGAGCAGCTGAAGCGTCGCAGAGACTTGTAGAGGCGTCGCCAATGTTCCATCTAAGTGTTTTTCAGTGTGTGCAAAAAAGTATAGTGTTTGAGCGGCACATTTTCATGCCTGAGTACCTGAATATTTTTCACAGATGGGAGAGGGGGTGCAGAGGGTGTCCTCGAGTCTAGGGCAGCGAGTCATTCAATGGGAAAGTTGCCTCTTGGAAGGAATGTCCCGGCTTGGCTGCCACTTGGTCTCTCCTGCCTCATCTCTCCTGGCTCTTCGCTTCTCCGTTCGGTCGTTGGGCGGCAGATCGAAAGCAGGAGCCAAGCCGGGTCATTCCTTCCAAGAGGCAACTTTCCCATCAAATGACTCGCTGCCCTAGACTCGAAGACACCCTCTGCAGTCTCTCTCTCTCTCTGCACACACCGCACACGTTCCTGTGGGGAACGCTGGGCCGGAACCCACCACGGTCTAGCTGGCACTAACTCTACTAGTATTTCAGTGTTTTAAAGCCTTAAAAACATGGCTGTTGTCTCAGGAATGAAACTCAGGAGGTTGTGATGGGTGACAATTAGATGGCTGCTATGGTTATGGTTTTTATTGTGATTTTTTTAAAAAAATTAGTCGCTTAGAGTTGCTGCTTTTCAAATGGATGGCCATATAAATGTATTGAAATAAAATAAATGATACATAATAATACATGCCTAAAAGATGAAATTAATAATTATTGCATTAAATAATTATCTAATTCTGTTTTATTCAAGCACGCACTACTGCTACAGCAGCTGGCAACCTGATAGAAGTTTTTGTTGATGGTCATTCTGTTTTGGTGTCTCCGGGAACCACAGTACTTCAGGTAGAATGATTTTATGCTCTGCAATAACCCCATGTAAATATTTGTGTGGTTTTATTTTCCATTCTTTTAAATTTGCACACACATACAACCCTTACCAAGGGTACCGTACCAAGATTTGTGACACCAAGCTTTGGTTTATTACAGTTCACCTCTCCAAATTGATGAACTAAATAATTGTTCTTTTTTTTAAAATGTTTGATGTACATAGCCAGGGAAGTCTACAATGTTTTTTTTTTAACCTCGGAATAGTTCTGGCAGCCTCAGATTGTTAGTTCATTTTGTTCATGCATGTACATTATCCATGGTACACCACAGTGTGCAAACTAGCTTTGCATCAGCCGGCTAACAATCGAAGAAATATTATCCCACGATTATATGTTTGGATGGCAAACATACCAATATTCCACTCTCCTCTTTTCCCCATAAACACTTCCTGAGATGAATTGAACCGAAAGAGAGTGATCAGTCACAGCCACAGGTTTGCCATCATGGGATTAGCCTATATGGCAAAATTACTTGTAACAATCAGTTTGTTTCAAGTACAAGTAGTGCTTATGTAGCCATTAGAACTTTTGCATTATCCGAGGTGGCGCAGTGGTTAGGGTGCAGTACTGCAGGCNAGTTGTATATATAGTTGTATATATAGTTGTATATATAGTTGTATATAGGGCTAAGAGCAGCTCTGAAAGTCAAGGGATTTTTTTTTAATGTGTGAGTTTAAATATCCTTTCTAACTCTCAATTCCTCCCCAAATAAGAAAAAAAAATGCTTCCATGTTTAGGGAAATTCAGGATGTTAAAGGGATACTAGGCTTAAAATACACATTGTATTTTTAAAACACGCCAAAATGCAAAATAACATTTAAAAAAAAAGTTTAGCTCTGCTCATTTCCAGGGAAGGCTCTAGTATTAGTAGCTGTGAATGGAATGCTGAGAACAGGTTTGCAAACTGCTACTACGGCCAAAGGCTTTGCAAGCAGTTTTGGAGTGTCTGCAGAGGTTGCTACCAACGCAGTAATTTTTACTATGGCAGAAGAGAAATGATTAAATTGATAAAGTGTTAATTATATTAAAGGTATTGGGTGAATATACTTTTAAGTTTTTATATACACACACATTTTGTAGCTTGTCTCCTAGCATGCTACTCAAAAATGTGTGGGTTCCTCAGCTAAAAAAATCTTACGTGATGATCATCATTTAAGTCCTCATTTAGCAACTGCTTAGATTGGTGATGGTTCGCAGTTACCACAGTGATGAAAAAGTAACTTTGTGGCCAGTCCTCACATTTACGACCTTCATAGTGAAATGCAGTGTTGAAACCCAATTCTCATCTGGAACTTCCCATCTATATTTCAAATGAGCTCCATTTTGACAAAACAACCCTTAAATAATTGAAGTGTTACGTGTTTGTCGAAATGAAATGTGAAGAACTTCAAATGCTGTAGCCATAGAAAACAATGGGAAGATTGTTTCATGGTACAAAAAAGTCCGTTTTCTATTTTACATTTCAGATCCCAAGAATATATTCATGTTGAATAGTTGCAGAAAATTTGACAGAAGAGAAATAAACCCAATTATTGAAGTTTTCCTTCATTTTCCTCTTAAGCTTTGTTCTTCATTTACATAGGAGGAGCCTGATTGATAATCTGCTTCTGCATAGTGGACTTGCCATAAAATCTGGAGAGTTCCTACTTGTGTGGATAGGCTACTTCAGCCTATGCACAACTGGCATTCTGAACTAGGTCTAGGCACCCAGTGTTATCAACACAGCTAGTATAGAAATGATGTTATGTTGATTGCTTAATTTTTGGAAAGCAGTTAAATTCAAAGGTTTCATACCAGTTGAAGCTTCTGAATATTTTTTTAAAAAGCATCACAAAGAGCGCGTTATAGTGGCTTTGATTGGATGTAAGTAGAGTATGAATGACTGTAGAAGTGTGAACTTTTTCTGTTGAATCAGCTGATACCATCTGTGGTAACCTCCTGGGCCTTATATGTTTATGCTTGTCTTTACCAGATTTGCAAGTGAAATTGCGGGAGTTGATGATTTAGGAACCACAGGAAGAGGAAATGAGATGCAAGTTGGCACTTATATTGAAAAAATGTTTATGTCCGAATTATCAGGCAACGTCATTGATATTTGTCCAGTGGGTGCCCTTACCTCCAAGCCTTATGCTTTTACTGCTCGACCCTGGGAAACAAGGCATGTATCTTTGCTGATATTTGAAAGATTCTATTACATTTTATAGCATCTGTCTTTTATTAAATTCCAGATAAGGTGGTTAATCTTTGAACCTGGTAGCCTCTTTGAATGTTGCAAAAATCCCAGTAAAAATGAGCCAACACAGAACAATTTCTTATGGAGTAGGGATTATATAGGGAGTTTCTTTTTAAAAAAAACTGAGAAAAGCGGTTAAATTGGAAGAATTTGTACAAAATTAGTTCTTTGAGAACAATAAATGCTTAATGCTATGTGATGGCATTAATAATATTTGTGACCCGTCAAAACCGCGCTCGACTAAACCGCGCCCGATTAAACCGCGCCGCTGACATCATCAACAGGGCGACA